TCAGGATACATTATGGTTACTACTCACTCCTCTTCTCTAGGTTTATAGAAAAAGACACCAATGAATGGAGGTGGGAGGAGATACAAAAATATGCTATTTGGCAGAAAGGAGGAAGTGTAAAGTTGCAGACATGGCAGAAGAGATTATTACTACTGAAGAGAAATCTACATCTCTATACTAGAACAGTGTGAAAGGTGCCTTAAGGATAAGAATCCATATATCAGAGGCTATGTCTTCCAAATTAATTTCAGAGGCGATAGCCTAAACTGAAAATGCCACTTGAGGAGGTTGTGTAGGCTTGTGCCAAGTTTTCAAATTGCTGCTTAAGCCAGATGACGTGTGTGGGGGTCATAGTTTCTACAATGAGGCCCCGGAAGCCCATTGTGTGAAGCTATCAAGGTAAAGCCTATGTTGAAGTAGAGATCTCAGGATTTTTGGAGATACTAGGACCACAAGAGATCCGCCAAGGAAAAAACTGCAGGCGCAGACTAAAGCTGGCCCAAGAGAGATATGGCAGAGCTTGAGGTACAAGGCCTCCCTTGCCTAAATGATTCATTGTGATCCCCAGTGATGGGCATGGAGCTGTAAGATTTGATGTTTGCCCTACTGTGTGTTGGTCATGTTATGGTCTAATCTTTTCCTTGCTATGTCCTCACCCCGCCTTTTGAGAATGTTTAGTCTGTGTCACTGTGTGTTGAAAGTGTGTGACTTGTTTTGATGCTCAGGGGCTTAGAGTTGAGAGGTTTCCTGAGTATCAAAAGATACTCTGTGCTTATACTTTGATGTGTCAAGCTGTTGAAATTTATGAGGGTTTTTGAAGTTGAACTGAATGCATTTTTCATTATGAGATAGCCATGAGCCTATGAGAGTGAGGGGCATAAGATAATAGCTTTATCACAGTATCCATTTTTTTCTCTGTGTAGCTTTTGGAGCCTGTCCTGGATCTCACTTTGCAGACCAGGCTGGCCTCAAAATCACAGAGATCCATCTGCCTCTGCCTCCCGAGTGCTGGGATTAAAAGATATGCACCACCACTGCCTGGCTTTGCACAGCATCTTTTGGTGTCAGGTTGACAAGGACTTTTGATGGTTAATTTTTCTTGTCGAGACAGAGTTTCTCTGGGTAGCTTTGGAGGCTTCGTGGTCAGTATTAACTGCCAATTGACAAGATTTAGGAGCACATGGACGTCTATGAAGGAGTTCCTAGATAGGTTTAACTGAACTGGGAAGAATTACCTTTCATCTTGGTGGCACCACTCAGTGGGCTGTGGTCCTCCACTGGCTCATAAATGAAAACTGAGCTGAACACCAGTATTCATTACCTCTGCTTTCTGACTGAGAGTACAGTGTGACTGACTACCTCATGCTGCTGCCATGGCTTCCCCGTTGTATTAATCAGGATTCTTTAGAAGAACAGAACTTATAGAATTATTATATATATACACATATTTATTATATAATGATTTTATATATGTAATTTATTAGAATGGCTTACAGGGTGTGGCCCAGATACTCCAACAATGACTGTCTACCAATGGAAGGTCCAAGAAACCAGTAGTTGTTCAGTCCATGAGATTGGCTGTCTCAGCTGATCTGGAATCCCAAGAAGTAAGGGCTCTAATGCCCGTGAAGGAGTAGAGTTTTCAGGAAAATGAATGTAATTGGAAAAGATCATATTAAGCGAGGTAACTGAGACCAGAAGAACACACATTGCATGTTCTCTCTCATTTGGTTTCCAGCTCTAAGTCCTCAGAGTTGAGTCTATGGCCTGGAGTAACTGCAGAAACCAGGAAAGTGAAAGGGGCCGTGTGGGAGCGAGAGACAGGGGGCTAATAGACATGAGTGATTTGAAGGGAAAGTGGGGCCTGAAAGCAGAGGAGAGAGAGAAAGGGAGAAAAACAAAGAGGAAGAGAGAGGGAGGTACAGACAAAGGAGGAAGGAGATCGATAGATAACAGTAAAGATGTCTGAAAATATCATAAGGCATCGTATTATTTTCCACCTACCTAAATTATATATATTAACTGTAAGTCTGTGTACACATATAAATATACATTCATACATACACACAAACCTGCACATACACAGACATGTAATATAAATGAAAATTTCCTATCTGGGCTGTCAATGCTCTCCTTAAGAGCATAGGATTCTATAACAAAACCTCATCAGCAGGCATGAAAAGGCCCTTTACAGACGTTGGTCAGGGTTGTCCAAGAGACTCCCAAAACATCCTATTGCTGTTGGCCTTGACTGCCTCCCAAGTGCAAGTTAAGACCCTGCTATTGAAGACACCATGCATTTCAGGTATAGTGCCCAGAGGCTCCTGAGCTGGATGTGACCTGAAAGCCCTCCCCATGAAGACCAGCTTTCATGATGCCAGGAAGCTCCGTGCAGGCTCCCGAGGGAGGGAAGCAAACACTATTCTACCTTGTTACGATGCTGCGTTAGTCAGGGTTATCTAGAGAAACAGAATTGGTGGAACTTGTTAAATTTGTTAGAGTGCCTTACAGGCTATGATCTAGCTAGTTCAACAAGGCCTGTCTACCACGAGAAAGCTCAAGAATTCGGTTAAATATATTAGAGTGCCTTACAGGTTATGATCTAGCTAGTTCAACAAGGCCTGTCTACCACGAGAAAGCTCAAGAATCTGGTTCAGTGCCCGAGGCTCCAGTCTCAGCTGATCTTCAGTGTATAACAGAATCTTGAAGATGTGGGCTCTGATGCCAGCCTAGGACTGGAATCTCGAGCAAGAATGAGAGCAAGCAGGCCATGAGAGCAAGCTCCCTTCTTCCACAGCCTTTACATAGGCGGCCACCAGAGGCTGGCCCAGAGTGAAGGTGAGGGTTCCCACCCCAGAAGATCTGGGCTAAAAGTGTCTCTTCCTACTTCAAATTTAATCAAGGAAAGCATTCCTCACAGGTGTGCCCAACCATTGTCATTTTAGTTAATTCCAGATGAAGTCAAGTTGACCACCAAGAATGTGGCTATTACAATTCTACCCCTTGTCAACTTGACACACAGTCACGTCTCCTTATGGCATGATTAACTTTCAAATGAAGACAATAACCAGGTCATTATACAGCCTAAACGTGATATAACTGTCACACATGGGTCGTAATTACGCTTGACATGCTATAACTGTCCCTCATACAACTGCAAATGCATTATAAATTTAGGATAGGTGGTAGTGTTGCTTGAGGGACATTCTTTCAGTAATTCTTCTTGTACAAACTTAAATATGATAACCATGGGTACTCTATTTATTGATGTTTCATTGCATGATAGAGAAATCACGGAATAAAAACACGTATCTGTGCAAACACATTCTTAGCAAAATACGACAGAAGCACTCATGTCAGTGATAATCCTGACTGGTTTCTGCAGCTGGTCACATGTCCTTATCTGGTATTTACAACTACCTTCCTCTCCTACCCATTCAGCATTTCCTCCACCTTCTACAAGCACCTCAGCAGGTCTTGGCTCCTTTCCTGGAGGAGTGGCCTATACCTTCATTCCTGAAGGGTCTGGGGTCCTTTGTCACCCTGCCTGGATTAGACTGCTGTAGTTTCCCATTGACTTTAAACACAGGACATGGTAGGACCAAGAGGCGCCCTAACGCATCTCCTGCGCTCCAGACAATCTTTCTTGCTTCCATCATGAAGAAGCAATCCAGGTCAATCACCCCTCCCAACACTTACTCCTTTCTTAGTCTCTTGGCTTAAGGGCATCAGAAGCTCAAAGCCTGAGGGGAGGAGGGAGGTGGGGGTGGGGTCTGAGCTCAGTGGAATGTTGTTGTGTCTCCTAGCAGGAGTGCTCCTCTTCTGGAACCAAAACTTCTAGGCCAGCAGAACCTAACGTCATAGGAACAGGAAGCAAAATGTTCCTAGTTGGTCCTTAGGGGTGATAGTGAGTGGAACTATTCCCTTGTCCACCCCCTTGACTCCTGGACCTGTGGGTCCTGAGGATGGGAGGAACAGTCCCATCTGGCAGATGCTGACTCAGAGCCTATAGTGCCATCTGGGGAGCCCTGCCCCAGCCCTCCAGGCTGCTGCCACATAGCCGGCACTGTTACCGGCTGTAACTGTGTCTTCAAAAGGCCATTTCATTTTTTCCTATTAGACCAGCTGCTTCAGGAGGGTGGGAACATGGCAAGGCCAGTGGGTCCCACGATCGAGGGCCCACTGTCACATGACTCGAGTTTCATGGTCAGAAGCTGTGTGGGCTACCATGACTGTGGATAAGGCGTTCTGTAAAGTCCACGGGGGTGTTTGGCAGGGAAAGGCAAGGCCGTAATCAGTAGGTTAGTGTCTATAAACTGTGATCAGGGGATATATGTGCCGATCCTGTGCCAAGCAGCACAGGTGCCAGGCCCAGCAGCCAGATGGGGACAGGGTGCAGACCTGTCTGAAATGCAGACGCAGCGTGCTCCGTGTCGGGTGCTGCTGGGAGTGAGAGGCGGCTGTGGGAAGGAGCGAGGCTGTGAGACTCCCAAACACTGCTCAGATCTCTCTTCAGTTTCCCTGGAGAAACTCATTGCGTGGGATCACCATTCTCCCTTAGTGTGGGGGCAGTTCTCACTCCCTGTGAGCGCAGGGGCAGCTGCTGTCCTCGCTGAGTCAAAACACGGCTGAGACAAGGCTGGCTAGATCGGTACCAACAGCCAAGAGACGGCTCTTTTGAATTGAATCTTTAAGATTGAGTGGAACCTCGCCAGCAGCCAAAGCCAAGATCTGAATAGGAGAGAAATGGAGAAAAAACGAAAACCAAAATGTCTGAGCTAGGAGGGTGGTAGTATGGAAATTAAGGAATTGCTGTCCCTGGATGGGACTTATCCACAAGGAGTATACCTGGAGTAGTGGGGAATTTTGGATCCCGGAGACACAGCAGAAACCAATGAAGGAAGGCTATATACCACCCCCAGGTGCATAAACCAGTGGGAAGGGTGCAGGGCGTGAGAACTGGCTTCTGTCTCCACACTCACTGTGTTCTCGGCTTCCAGCTCGCTCCAAGAGCCTGGTGATGGGGGAGCAGAACCGGAGCCCGGGGAGGTCCCCGGCCCCCCACAAGCTGGGCCCTGTACTCAAGGCCGGCTGGCTGAAGAAGCAGAGGAGCATCATGAAGAACTGGCAGCAGCGATGGTTCGTGCTACGTGGGGATCAGCTCCTCTACTACAAAGACAAGGACGAGAGCAAGCCCCAGGTAAGGCATGAAGGCCCTGGGTCCCTTGGGCGTCGCGTGTGCCGGGACAGCAAGGGGGCGGGGTAAGTTCAGAGTGTGAATGCAGGCAAAGCCAGCACCCAAGTTTGGGTCTTAACCCCGTGTGTTCCCACATCGCAGCTTGTCTTTCTGGAAGACACTCCCAACTTCTGAAGTAGAAATGTTAACGCTGGCGGAGTACATCCCTTCCAGCTTAAAAACAGCGCTTCCCGTGTTCTGCTCAGATCCTTGGTGCTTCCAACAAAGCCACGCGTGCACATGTTTCATTCCCATTATCCGGACAAGTCTAACCTTACACTGAAATCTGAATCCCCGTGAAGCTGTATGTCTGATGTCTCTGCCTCAAATAGGGATTTTTCCCTGTACTACTGAGACCTCTCCATTCGGGTACTCAGAACACCTGGTCTTCCCACCCAGACCAGACAAAGTTTACTCTCTCAGAGCAGCTAGTGGTTTCATCTGTTGGCCGTGGCCTCATCACAGCTGGACCACATAGACACCAAAACAGAGTGCCGTGTTGTAGAGAGTCTTCCAAGACAGCTGGGCCTGCAGGATTGGGGAAATCCAACCCTTATAAGAGGTAAAGCCAGGGCTCTGTAACCCATGCTTTGAACCTCTATGGGCAATAATATTTCTAATTATATCTATGCTGAAATGGGAAAATTGTCAAGTTCAAAGTAAGAGAGTGAGTCTTCCACACCTTGTTACGTCATCCGAGAATGTCAGATGTGTCAGTTTGGCTTTGTGTCTTTTCCATGTTCCCACACTTGCTTTAATAGATATGGGGACTGGAGGGCAAGCTTCGTCTCACAGCCTGCAGGGATGGAAGGAGTCAGCCACAAGTTAATGACTTGGTGGCTTCAGCTCATGTATTCCAATGGTTGCCTCCATTCATGGAGGGTAATTCTGTTTTCTATTCTGTGGTAGTTGTGTTACCTTGCTTTCCAAAATATATTTGCATTCAAAATGAAAAACTGTTGCGTAGTAACGTGAATGAGTTTAATCCGCTGAACTATATACTTTACCAATGGCTACTATGGTGAACTTTATGTCATGCAAACTTTATAATAAAGACAAATATATAAATAAGTAGAACTGCTGTAAGAAGATGATCACACAGGTAACAGCACAAAAGGACAAACTCAGGATGGTGGACAAAACTGCAGTTAACAGATGAAGGTGGTTCCAGTCCAAACTGGGAAATCCTCATCTCATTCGGTCCTTCAGTTTTATACAGAAGGAAACCGACATCCTGAGTTCAGTGAGGCAGAAGGGAACTCTGGAGTCAAGTGAATCTGAAATGGATTTGAATTCCATCTTGCATGCTAAAATTGCATGACTTGGGAAAGTCACTCTCTTCTTACCAACTTAGGTTTTAGTTGCAAAATGGAACAACGACCAGAGGCCAGTCTTATCTCACTGAGTGCCTACACATGAGCTCCTGTGTCCATACCCTGCCTTCGCCCTCCTCCCTTCCAGACACACTCATCCCTCTCCCCCAGAGATGTGGCACAGCGCCATTTTTCTTCTGGCCTCCTTGACCCACCAATAGAGTTTCCTAACTGACCTATCCGTGATCTGTCATTCTGACATCAGTGACAATAACTATCAGGATCTCGAAGTCATGTGCTGGGCTCCTGCTCTATTCAGCCTGCATTGCTTCCTTCTGGAAGCTGTTCATTGTGATGATGAGTGATGCTAGGTGTTGACAATCCTGAGGAAGACCCCCTCTACTCCAAGCTCCCCCATGTGTTCCTTGCTGTAAACCCTGTAATACACCAGCCACCCCTACCTCTATCAGATAGCTCTAGGGCATGTCTATCCCAGAATTTCCCATTGCTGCCATCTTTTCCAGACCTTGGACAGCTTCTAGTGGGAGCAGTAATTAAATGGCAGTACCCATGCCCCCTAGTCACAGGCCCAGATGCATCAGAAGTCCTTATCCCCACCCCGGGTCAGTCCGGGTCCTTCACCTCCAGGGAGAACAGAGCCAGCATACCCAGATAGACACCAGCCTCTGCTCAAAGCTCCTCCTGTGACTCTCTAAGTCTGTTGACACTTACAGAGTGCTGGGACCTAACCACTGTTCCATAACCAACTCTGACTCCTGAGCCTCCCTCCTGCACCGGTTCCCAAATCGAGGCCACTGTTGTTAGTCCAGTTTGACATTTAGCTTCTCCAAATGTGATCTCAAACTACTGCCACAATCAACCCACAGACCTCTACCTAATTTCATGAAGTACATGTAATAGATTAATTCTCAGTGTCTGGTTCCTATAAAATATGTCCTGCTCCCTGTTCATAGTGACAGCACGGCCCGGCAGTCAGTACCCTCACGGCAGAAAGCCTGCGCCAGCTACTGTAATTGTCAGGAAAGGGTACATCCAGTCGCCTGTGATGTTGCCCAGAGCTCAGATGTCAGGATAAGCATCCGTCACAGCTCATGTCCAGGCTCTCTCTCAAAGCCTTTTCTCTTCTCCTCCGTCCTTCTCAGGCCAGGAGGGCCAGCAGCAGACAGCACAGAGATGAAGCCAGTGGCCAGGCAGAGGTGTTTTCGAGAGCCCCCATCCCTCCAGACCTCCTCTGAGCACGCTCCAGAGGTTTTCTAGAAGGCAGACCCTGCAGTTTCTCCAGCGAAGGAGTCCGGGGATTTATTGTTGTTCTTTCTGGGGTGCAGTCCCAGTGTCTGCTCTAAATGTTCTCTACTGAAGCTTCCTCACATGCTTTGGTGACCAGCTCTGTGCATTTCTGTTACTTAGAGACTTTAGTTATCCCAGGCCTTTGCCTGGGAATTTCTTGGCACTGAGTAGAGATGGACCAGGATGGAAACGGCAAGTATAGTCTCTGGAACATACGACTGAAAAGCAGTGATGCTATAGAAAGAGTCCAAAGCAAGCCACAGGACGGCAAGAGTAGGTGCTGACATTTTAGCACTCATAATAAATTAGGATAAAATAGATGTGTCTGCCTCTTAAAAGACTGGACATTCAGGAAGATTGAGCCTAATAAGTGAGAAGAGGAAAATAAGTAAAAGAATGGGGAAAGTCTACACCAGTAACTAAGAGCAAAAAGGACTGGGCAGGGTCCCCACAACCAGAATCTGAGGTGGGAACACACACTTCTAAATTCCTTCCTAGTTAGTGGGAAACAAAGTAAAATTCAACCATCTAGGTAAGGGCAACAGATGAAGAAAATAAAATGTGGCTGTTTCAACTCCCTAACCCCCCTAAGAGGTTACAGATATGGTTCAGAGTGAAGGGGAAGGAGATGGACTCTGATGCTGGCCAGACTGACCAGAGGCAGCTGGTGAGGGCTGAGCAGTGCCTGCAGCTTGCACAACAGACATGTCCCAGCAGGCTGGGGCTGCAGGGCTGGAAATGAAGCAGGAGAGGCCAAGACCAAGAGCCTAGGCTGAGAGTCAGCTTCAAAAACTACCTGTCACAGGAGCGTAAGGCCCTGAGTTCAATCCCCAGCACCCACATAGAAAGCAGAGTGCACATCTGTGACCCTGCCTGGATCCCAGGGCTTGCTCGGCAGCCAGTCTAGCTGAGTCAGAGAGCCAGCTCCAGGTTCAGTGAGAGACTGTCTCAAAAACTTAGGTAAAAAGCAACAGAGGAGGACACTTGGACATCAGCTTCTGACCTGAGTATACACTCCTACACCTGTACATATACACAGGCATGTACACACATACATACACATGTGCACACATACACAAGCATGCACACATGCACATACACAAGCATGCACACATGCACATACACAAGCATGTACACATGCACATACACATGTACACACATACACAAGCATGTACACATGCATATACATACATACACAATCATGCACACATGCACATACACATGTACACACATACACAAGCATGTACACATGCACATACATATGTGCACATATACAAACATGTACACATGCTTATACACACATGCACATACACATGTACACACATACACAAGCATGTACACATGCACATACACATGTACACACATACACAAGCATGTACACATGCACATACACATATACACAAGCATGTACATACATATGTACACATGCACATACACAAGCATGTACACATGCACCTACACATGCACACACATATACACACATGTACACATGCACCTACACATATACACAAGCATGTACACATGCACATATACAGATACACAAGCATGTACACATACACATATACACAAGTATGTACACATGCACATACACATATACACAAGCATGTACACATGTACATACATAGGCATGTACATATGTACACAAACATATACACACATACATATACAAGCATGCACACCTTCATGAAACACACACACCCCTATTAGAGCTAACATTGTGACAAAACGTCACTTGGGTGTAAGATTGTAAGTCTAGTCCCTGGGCAAAGGCGGTAGGAGGAGCATCACTTCAGACTGAAGACCCAGCCCTAAATGGGGGGTGCTATCTTTCCACTCCCCACTGTTCACTTGCCACTTAGCTTCCAGGCCCTTCAGCTAGGAGCAGCCTCCTCCCTGGTCCAGAGAGGAAAATGAAGAACTTTCAGGGCTTGCTAAGCGGGCAGAGGCCCAGGTGGAACACATCACACCTCAGCCTCTTAGCAGTAGAGGCCAAAATGGCAAAAGAAGCACAGACAAAAGCAGGAAGGGGAGGGAGGAGGAAGAGGAGGCCTGGGAGGAGGAGGAAGAAGAAGCCTCATATTTAAAATTCTTTGCCAGGCCTGGTAGTACAGGCCTGAAATCCTAGACACTCTGCAGGCTAAGGCCGGAGTATCGCAAGTTCAAAGCCAGCATCGGCAACTCAGTGAGCCCCTTTTCAAAGGGACGTAGTTCAGTGGGAAAACACTGGCCAGCTGGTGCCAGGCCCTAACATATCAGAACACAGAGAACTGTCTTTTACATCCTCTGAGAAAGACTGTAGGCATGGAGGAGACAGAGAACAAAACCTCCCTAAGAGGTCCAAGT